ATTAGCAACTGTTTGCTTACCAGCTGATTCAATTTGGACACCGGTAATATCGAAAAAAAAGTTTTCTATTATGAAAAAATTAAAAAAAGAAATTTCTTTAGGATGTTGTTTTATACAATTATGCTGATGAACGTTTGAAAGATTGGCGTGAAATTTCAGCTGTTATACAACATACAGGTGATATTTTATATGTACCAGCGACAATGCAATTTAGCGTTTGTTTTCTTGATATAACAAAATTTCCTTATGATATTCATCAATGTTCATTAACATATCGTTCATGGACATATGATTTTTCAAAAGTAATACTTTCATTTAAAGAAGATATACCAGCCATGGATATGACATCATATTTAAATTCTAATGAATGGAAAGTAATGCCACTTGAGGCAAAAAGAACTATTACCAATGATAGATTTTCATTATTAACATTTACAATGATTATTCAACGAAAAGGTGGCCTTTATGGTTATATTTTAATATTACCTTGTTTACTTTTATCTGCAGCAACAATGGTCGTTTTCTGGATTCCACCAGAATCACCAGCAAAAATGATTTTAACTATATCAATTTTTTCCGGTCTATTTCTTTTATTACTTCTGCTAGCTGAATCAATACCAGGTATATGAATAAGAACCTATAAAAAAAAAAGAATAATTTTCATAAATGTAATTTTTATAATAACTAAAGAGTGAAAAGCTCCAGTTGTTTCTGTTTCCTGCTCCTAGAAAAAAAAAGTAAAGATCAATTAACCAAGTTTTAAGAAGTATTTACTCATTTCTACTTAAAATCATTATGACACCAGTGTGTTTTCTATACTGAAGATTTAGTAAATGCGACCTAATCTACTCCATGACATTTCTGTATTATCTGAATTGAAGTATAAAGATCTGAAACTATATTGTTTGATTGATATAATATTTTACTTTAACAAAGAGAAAAGATGAAATTTTGGTTTTAATTCCGCAATTTCATTAAAATACGACAACTATATATATATTAGCAATTGACGTACCAACTCCGATAGGCAACATTTTATTAGTGATAATCTCTAAGAATGAATTCTGTTTGATTTTGAAAGATTGAGTAGTGTTTACGTTTAATTCTTTATTTAAATCAAATAGTGTGTCGAATGTACACAAGTCAAAGCATTTTAAAGTGGCATACCTGTCGTTAATACGATACAATATATTTATTTAGTGAAAGAATCAATGATTATCTTACCAGAAGATGAATTTATATTTTTATAAGAAAATTTGAATACGTACTTTCAAAAAAGTGATTGATAAAGAAAATATTAAGTATGATCGAAATGGACATAATTAAAACTCGCAAAGACTTTTAAAAGGACATTTGTAAATAAAATAGTTTTTTTTCTAATGACTAATTACTAGAGTCCGTTGGCTTGATCTCAGATTCGGACTCAACCCAGTTCGTGTATGGGTTCAAAAATGTTGAACCTGATGGGCTCTACTAATCGCGCACAACTATTCTTTGATATACACTTAAAGTAGTATTAAAATATGACCTGTCGAAATGCAACATTTGAACAAGTATAGAAATTTCATAATTAGTTGTCGTTCAGTTTTTTTATTGTAAATCTGTTGTTATTTTTATCGTTTTGCATGATTTAATTATGTTAAATCGGATCAAACTATGTATTTACCATTAACATGATGAGCTTTAATAAATGTAAACAGATTATTCAAACCATCAATAATTCTAGCTAGTTTCAGTTTGATTAATTGTATAACGAGTTTTAGCAACATTATCAAATTATGTTTAACGAGTTTTTTCTTTTTGATAGATCAGTTTTTCATAGTGTTGAGTAGTCTTTTGAATGCTGCTTGTATAAAATGTTTTTCTTCATCTTGTTTATGTAAAACTATAAAACAGACATGCTTACGCAGATGATACGTGCAATTTGACATTAATAATGTAAAGCTATAGAATAAGCACAGGAAAATGTATTCATATAGTTTATTTAGGCACTCTCTAGTCGTTAATACGATGTCAAATAATTCGATTATAGTCATTTGAATAAATTATTTAATTCATAATATCATTTATCGAGTTATTTATCATTCAATTGGAAATAAACATTCAATAAAATGTGCCCTATTGAATTAATTAATAACATGATTTACAATTAGAAAAGAATAGTTTAATATTGAATAACAGTTTTTTTATTATTATTTTAAACTATCTAAATGTTTATTTTGAGGTGGTGGTGGTACTCCTCACATCGGTTATTATTATTGTGTCAATATGGTTGTTGTTTCAGTCACAGCAGTACTAGCTACTATTGTTATACATGTATATGTTCGAGGTGATCGACGTCAAGGTGTTCCTCCATACATACATCGTCTTTTTCTTCAATATCTTGCTCGACTTTATTGTATGGCTCCAAAAACAGTTCCTAATTTATCTGGCTCTGCTTCATCCCGCTATGGTTCACCATTACCTGGAGCTCTTCTATTACCAGAGAAAATATTTTTAACGCCACGTTATCATGAAGAAGAATTTTCTAAAAAACTTAAATTACTTAAACAACGTTTTCATGAATTTCATCGACAGCAAGAACTAAAACAACAACAAAAACAACCAAAACAAAGTTCACTTGTTTTTAATGCTATGACAAATGAAACAATAGCCGCATTGAGTGTTAATTTGCGTTCAATTGAAAATGATTTAAAAGAAATTCGAGATTACTTAAGACATATGAAGAAAAAAATTGAAGATACTGATCGATCAAATAAAACTGCTGATGATTGGAAACAAGTTGCTCTGGTACTTGATCGAACGTTCTTCTTTGCTTATTGTGGCTGGCTTATTTTATCACTTATTGTTATGTTTCCAAAGACACCTAATATATCAAAAGGTACTTGGTCAACACCAACTTTAACACCACTAACTAATGTTACTAATAACATAAGCAATTTAACATTGATTTAATTTTTTTTAAATTTCTCTTCGTTTTTCTCGTAAAAATAAGGTGTCGGTGCTATATTCTCATTCTAATTTTTTTTGCTTCTATCTTTTGTATGATCAATTCCCAATTTTTGTATTATATGCATACAATTTTTTCCAATGAGCGATTATGATTTTGAAGAATACAATATGATGCATCATGTTTAAATCTGAAAACTCTTAATTTTTATATTCAAAAGTTTAATTTTAAAGCAAATATCTGGTTAAATAGAATTATTTCAATAGCAATTACTCTGCTGTGATTCAAGAGCTATTTACTTCAATGACACAATCGATGATTACTGTACATACTTTTGTAAAAGGAAACAATCGAATACCTATTACACTAAAGTATCACTTAAATACTGAGTATATGTGATAATTGTTGTCACAATGAGAAGAATAAACGAGACAAATGAACTATTCAGGTCACAGCTACGATTCATGTATATCACAGAGAGCTAGTTCTTTAATGACTACCAAACGAAACGTTCGGCTGGTTCGTTCATGAGCATCAATAAACTATAATATAAACTTTTTCCTGTATGTTCTTGTAACACATTTTTGAATAAGAAAAAGAATTTATTCTACCGTTATTCGATAGAACATTTCTATTAATCATATTTTCTTAATCTGTAATTCTGCTTCGTCTTGTTTTTGCTGCATAAGTTTATTCTCACTTTTCCTTAATCTAGACAAGATATGAATGTTACTGTGGGTGTGGGTCTTTTGTGTACCATCATAGATACCCTAATCCATACACCTACACCTGCAAGCCCACCCTTATGTAGACATCCTCCTACATTCACATCCTTACACGAACGAGAAGTTCTGAAAACGCATTTAATTGTCCTAATCGTAGTTCCTGTTTGTGGGTTTTCGTAATTACTCAAAAAACACCAAAACTAGCTACTTTCATAATGTAAGGTGCTTGAAGATACTTGAAAAGACAAATCTTCTGTTTGAAAAACGTTCAAAATGTTTTCTCATCATATTTTTGACATAGTGTATCACGCATTAAAAAGTCATCATTATCTGCAAAACATGTCAAAGTGTTACAAAAAAAAAACTTTGCACGTTTCCACGATGTGAAGCATTCCTTCTTAAGTATTTTCATGCATCTTTTATGAACATTAGATAGTAATTTTGATGTTTTCTGAGTAGACGTGAAAACGTTCAAATGGAAATCACAATTAGGACTATTAAACGCATTATCGGAATTTCTTGCCTGTTTTGGGGATGTGAACGTAGGTGGGTGTATGGACGAGGATGGATTTGAGGACTAGGACATCAGTGACGGTACACAATTGATCTGCACTGACACTTCCACGACGAATTATTCATCGGACACATTTTCATAACACCATTGAAGAATCTTGTTGATATGCGTCTAGACGAGAGACTCGAGAATAGTGAGTAATTCAAGTTTTTAGACGCTGGTTGACCATCTATCACCACGTAGAAAGTTGTTCTTTAGGATAGCATCATTTAGAAACTTTTATCATCATAAAGATATTATTTTTCTCCGAATCAATATTATAGTGGTGGCATGAATTTTTTCTTATATAAGTAATTGAACGAACAGTCTTTTCCCAGTTCGATCAAGTCTAATACATAGTTCTACAGAATAAAGAGCAATAGAGGATGGCTTATTATCACATTTTTGGGACATGTTTGAAAAAGCTACTAAGAAATAATGTTAGATTATGGTGATTATTAAGTTCAATTTTATTCGCTGTAGAGATGAGCAGCTCTGACTGACTCTTGCTAAAGCTCAATAGCAGGTGGGCTTCAAATAAATCTGGAAATGTTCGATGCTAGTTTTGAGAGCTGAAGAATGAATAAAGATCAAGCTCATATTCACTTGCACATGGCATCAAATACGTTTCTGTTGAATATTTGTTGTGAGATCTTTCGGAAATGATCGATTAGAAGGGAGAATGAGAATGAATGAAGTCTAATATGCTTTGATAAAATAAAAAAAAGCAACAAAAAACACTAATAAAATTTGATTAACAAATGGGTAATCGTTACTCTTTTTGTTCAACATCGGCTATTGATAATGTTTGACAATTGTCATTAATTCCGAAAAGATCTTTTGCATGCATCAATGCAAATTGTTTATAATCATTGATTTTATCCGCATATAGATTCATCAGTAATTTCATATATATTTTTTTGATTGATGATGTGTTATTTATTAGGATAGCATAATCTTTTCTCGAAAGATGCTTGTTCTCTTCATAAAACTGTTCAATAGATTGCACCATTTGATTGAATTGAGGTCGTACTTGCTCCTCCATTTTGGTTATTTTCTCCAAAGCTACTAAATCATCTTTAAATAATGATCTTAAATCGTCTGTTTGCTCATTGATTACATTTTCAAATAAATGTTGTAAAGAATTCACACTATCTTTACAATGATGTAATTGAAGATACTTATTAGTTTTGATTTTTACTAAATAAGACGTTTGATCTGAACGTATGATTTCGACAACATAACCTTCGCCTTTGGTCTCATCACGAATGTTTTTCACGAGTTCTTTTTGACATAGATCACTTGGAATCGATGTAAATGTAACTACACGTTCGAGAATCGAATGAAACTTATGTTCACGAAGGAACGAGATGAGGCGTCGAGCAAAAAGAGTCTCACCAGTCAAATGAGACCGAATGGAGAGAACAGTCAATTCAGAACGAGGATAGTGAAGAACAATATGATTCAAAGGTGATGTATATTCCATATTGACAGTATAATTAAGATGAATCAGAATTTCGATTTCATCTTTGAATTGTCCTATAATTAATTTTTATCAAGGTTAATAAGTCAAGATTACATTACAATCAAATAATGATTCTAAACAAACATCAACTCGATGTACAAAGAAGTACACCGCACATTTTCAAATGACAAGATCAGTGGCGTAGTCAGAAACTTTTGAGCCGTATGCAATTTTCTAGCTAAACCATTTTAGAGTGTAAGAATCTGTGGGCAGTTACTATTAAACCATTGAGTAATTGCAGCCAATGCAAGAAATTTGTAAATAATAAATTTTTGATCGGTGAGCATTTACCCAACGGCTCATGACTAGCTACGCCACTGGACAGGATGAAGGTGTCAATGCGTCGCTTACACCACTATTTAGATATTCAAGACAAAGTAATGCCGCCGTATAGAGAGTGAGTTCGAACAGCCAAGCTTACCAATGGTGGAAAAATTCTTTGTTATTTCTAATGAAATCTTTCTTTGGGAAGACAATGGATCCTTTTTCGTCTTAAAACTGACTTACTCATGAAACGATCTGGTATGCCATTGTCTAAGAAAATGAGAGTTCAGTATTAAGATACATCCTGTTTACAAGACTTCTGCTTTTGAAAGTATTTGTCCTTCCCCTGAAATGGACGTGCTCATCAAAAATGCATTTCAAAATCATGTTCACTTTCTATTCTGACAAGTGACAGTACCTTTTAGTAATTCCATTGCCTCACATGATTGCGATGAGGTCAACGATGCTTTTGATTTCAAACGAACAACTGGTTCATTCTTCTGGTTGAAATGAAGAAATGTTGAAATTAAGGATCCGTCCATTTTAGTCATTTGATCTCCTAATTGCCCTAGCTCATGCTGTTTACAACCGTTGCCCTCGTCGTAATTGAAGAATTTTTCTGGTGGCAACGAAACCAATTGAACATTGTCAGGATCATTGATGTTGAACATTGTTCCACGACAATTCAAAGCAGACGGAAGTGAATGAAAACTAGTGTAGGAACAAAGTCGATAATTGAATATACGATATGTGATAGAATCAAGTTGAGTATCTTTATAATAAAAGCCATTGTCAGCTGAACATAGTGATGTAAGATTGTGATAAAGTTGAGAGATTAACTGTGCCATTATTGAGCTACAAATGTGTGAGTGTACTGAGAAATAACTTGGTTGACTTGCATTAAACCAAATATAATATAGATAACAATAACAAAAATTACAACATGCATCATCAGAAGTATTGCAACGCTACTGTCACATTTGCGTCATAGACAAAACATTATAAGTCATAAGTGATTCATTTTTTTTTTCATTCTGTCATGCGTTTTATCGTACGAAGTGGAGAAACATGATCACATTTTTAATGCGGCATACAGCATAGTATTCATGTAGTTATTCGCAAGTTTATTTTTCCTATTTATAAAAGTATACAGCACTTTCATGGCAAACGATTGGGCGTTTTTATGATGTGAATCATCATATAGCAGTTATGTGTGGAATTTTCTTCCTTGATAGTCAACATATAATGTCCATAGTTTGTGACATGATAATCTCGAGAACAGAATATTGCTTGAAGCTAACTGAAACATCATCAACAAAGTAGAGCTTTCAAAATGATAAATACTTTCTTAGATTTTTCGATATGTCACACTATTCAGCCAAAATAAAATCTGGATAATGAGAACAGTATATAAACTTTCTTACTCCTGTCAAAGATTATGAAAACGCTATTAAGTATCTATTTCAGCAGCTGACGTTATCTACAGAGATATTTTGTTTAAATCGAGAGTTGCTATCATCTTTTGCCGACGACACCTTATTTATGCATGATTCTCTACAGAATGAAAACTGTTTTTTTTTAGATTTTCGTCTAAACTGAACTACCCATACTTTGAGAATGCATAGGAACGTTAAGAAAAATGTTGCATGCTAATTTACTGGCATGATGTTACCTTGGATAAATTATTCGTTCTATTTGATAGATGACATGAATTGATAGTTGTTGATGAAGGCTGCTTAATGCTATCCATTACTATGCCAATTAGTTTATCAGATATCAAGTACAAATACGGAAAATTATCTTTCGACTTTATTATCATTGTCCGAGATTACAAAAAGAAAGTCTAGAGCGCTTATCTAAGCATTAGTAGTGAATGTTCATGAAATCGAGATTCGTTGTCATGTTTTGGTCATTTTGTTATCTTGAAAATCGCCTACATAAACATCAACTTTCAATGAAATGCGTAACCAATCATCACAACAAGAATAACAGGCATTTTTTACGTTTCCACTGAAAAAACAATGATTGATTTTCCTGCATGACTAATGTTAGGCGACTGGTATTGATATAGACTTATTAGTAGTGAACCGAGTACCATTTTAAGCATTTTTTTCAGATAATGTGTATGGATAGATACTATTGGCAGCAACTCCGATTGCAATCAAGCATATGATTTCTAGGATTAAGTGTACCATTCAGTTTCACCCAAATGTGATAGTTCGTGATTTCCACATAGAATTTTCCAACAGTGCTTCGCACCAATATTCCATTATGAGCAAAGCTGTGATGTCGTCTAGTATCTTTTTCTTTCTAAGCATGCGCATGAAAAGTTGCCATTTGCGATCGCAATGATCTAAAAAAGCAAAAATCATAAAATAATCATTTAAGCGTTACGACAAAATTATACAGTCCAATCGAAACCATCCATTTTCTAGGCTTCAATGGCACGTTACATTTTCTTACATGGAACCACCTGAACAAGGGAAAGCTTTGTGAAGTTTGATTTTTTTTCAAGATTTGAGAGAATTAAAACGAAGACTAACAAAAGTTAGACGCCATTTTCTTGGCTTATATCTAAGAAAGCTGTGAATACAGTTGATGATGGATAGGAAATCAGATCGAGAATCAAGAGATCAATCAATAATCTTCATTAGAAACATGTTAATAACTGTTAATAGAGTATTCTTAGTAATGAATTTCAAAATTGTTACTTTGCATTTCCATTTTGACTACGATCAGCTAATTAATCGAAACTAAAATTCTCCGATTAACAACCACAGGACAAAAGCCTGAATCTTGTAAAATGTAAATAGGTGTTGGAGAAAATTGTTTCTCAATGAATCGTCGAAACGATCATTCATTTATTATAATATATCGTTTTTTTCAATAATCGATATTCGAAAGCATCGTACTGCATTTCGTAGTCGAGTGAAAAACTTCAAGCAGAATAGTCGTATATTCGACATTATGTGACAATTTTCTTCCTGTATTTCAATTTATATAAAACTAAAATTATAGCTAACATTTCATTGCTAAAAAGAACTTTTTGAGACAATGACTGTCGAAATGGCATCTTTATTATTTTCCTTTTTACTATCGTGGAGTATTCTTTCTATTTGATGGAATTATAAGTGCAATGAAAACTTCCAAAAATACAGTGAGACAAAAAAGGATCTATATACTTCTTCATAGACAAAATCAATGATTCTCTCTTTATAATCAGCTATTATTTATTCTTCTGCTTTTTTCTTGAGGAAAACTCGTATTTTTTGCTTGTCGATCAAATTTTTTTTTCTCTTCTGTTTTCTCATGCATATAATGAAATCGAATAAAAAAAAAACAAATTCATGCAATATTTTCACTGTATAAATATTTTTTTACAGAAATCTTTGCTTTTTATACTAGTAAATTGAAAAGTTACTTTGTGTAATTCTTAGTTATTCTTTTACAATCTACAAAACTATCTATCCGGTACATGACGCTCATAGAGATATATGATACATACGTATGAATCTCAGAGACGCTGAGTTTGACCCAAGAAAAATGTAGATGTGTTAACAAAAAAAAAGAAACAAGAACTAATTGAAAATTAGACTAATGAAAATGCTTTGCATGTCGATGTTTATTTTTAGTTAGAAATATCAGGCCATATAGCACTTGTTGAAAATCTGATAAAATGAAACAAACTAATAAAATGATATAGCTTAGTCACCGTCTCAGAATCATTTTGGCATCACCTAATTTCGTTGATACCTTTATTCTGATCGAAATCATGATTATATGGCTTACTGAGATTGACATTCTAAGGAATTAAAAGAGGTCATATTTTTATTATTCTCTTGCGACAGTCTTTTCCTATTCCTTTATTCATATTAATTCTTTTATCATACTTGCACCATTGTGTTGCACGTTTCTTAGTAATTTCTTTTCCAAAAATTCTAAGGATTTCAGAAATAATATATCATAATCAGTATAGCAAAAGTTGAAGTACAGATGACAAATTCAAATGCTCCCTTACAGCCTAACAAAAAGCTAAGCGTTGATCAATAGAAAGAGCATTAATATGTCAGCTATACTTCAAGTTTTATTATACTGACTAGGATATATCTTTTCTGACATATTTAATATTTGTGGCAAAAAGATTACTGAGAAACACGTCTGACAGAATGCTGTAAATATAGCAAAATAACTATTATGAATAAAGGTATAAAAAATGAGTATCGCAAGAAAAACAAGTTTTTCTATACCTATTAAATGTAACGTAGAGAACGCATTCTTGAACGGTTCATTTGTGTTTTTAGTGGAAAAAACACATTCAAACATAGATTTTTGCAATCATTTTTATGAATATGCTCTGTCGAACAATAGCAATAGTGATATCATATTCTTTTCAGTTTTTTCTCTATTTTCACAAAAGATGAGTTGATTCTATCCACTTATTCATACGTTTCGGCTTTATTTTACATTATCAAGTCTAGATAGACGTAAATTTTTCATATCTTACATTAAAAAAAATAGAATTGTATAAATTAATTAATGCTAATTCTTATCATCAATATAGAATTTTAAAAGACGAAACAATTTTATTTTCGATTTCTTTCATGTACGAATTAGAGGATAATAAGACGTTCATACTGGATTTTTCTACACGAAAAAACAATTTATTTCGAATCACAAAACTTTCGGAGGAACAAAAA